ATCTCACTTTGTGAATAAAGAGACTTTTCCCCAAGGTGAAAGTAGCCTTATCTAAGAATGTAGATAGATTTGTACGTTTTTAAACATATGCTTTTTGACAATGTACTTCTATGGTGGAGTCAGATAAAGTCACCCAGCTATTATCTTTACAATCCATTAAGCTCCGAGGACATTACTTATTTAGACCATTGGGTGTAGTTTATAGGTGTTTATAGGTGCAATGTCATATATGTATGAATATATGGAATTGCCTACATGCTTGAATACACACACAATTGTGTGTGCGTTCAAGTGTGTATGCAGCACTATACTGTGTGTGCGTGTGTGTTTGTGTAGGAATGTGAGGGGAGTGTGTATCCTGCAGATGGTTGCTCAGTAGTGATGATGCATTCCTCCCCCCTCCTCTCCTCCCCCCTCCTCTCCTCTCCTCTCCCCTCCTGTCCTCCCCCCTCCTCTCCTCCCCCCTCCTCCTCCCCCTCCTCTCCTCTCCCCTCCTGTCCTCCCCCTCCTCTCCTTCCCCTTCCCTCCCCTCCTCCTATGTCCAGATGGCTTTGATAGCCTCATTTCTTCTACCTCACCTCCTCCTTCTCTCCTCCTCATCCCTCACTTTTATCTCCATCTATACAACCTGTACAGCTACTCCTTAGAAGCTGCTTTAATATCATTACACAAACCTGACAACAAACTATAAATGACATCAATGCATTTCATTTCGGCCTGCTTCCAGAGTTAGTTTAGAATACCATGATTCTAAGACTAACAACACCCGTGCCAATATACTGTACACTCCAAACACCGGCTTCTAGGGCATTATCACTTTTATACCAGGGGTTACCAATATATTGAAATAATGATTGACATACACTACCGGTCAAAAGTTTTAGAATACCTACTCATTCAAGGGTTTTTCTTTATTTGTACTATTTTCTACATTGAAATAACACATATGGACATATGGAATCGTGTAGTAACCAAAAAAGTGTTAGAAAAATCAAAATATATTTTATATTTGAGAATCTTCAAATTGCCACCCTTTGCCTTGATGACAGCTTTGCACACTCTTGGCATTCTATCAACCAGCTTCAACTGGAATGCTTTTCCAACATCCTTGAAAGAGTTCCCACATATGCTGAGCACTTGTTTGTTGCTTTTCCTTCACTCTGCAGTCCGACTCATCCCAAACCATCTCAATTTGGTTGAGGTCGGGTGATTGTGGAGGCCAGGTCATCTGATGCAGCACTCCATCACTCTCCTCCTTGGTAAAATAGCCCTTACACAGCCTGGAGGTGTGTTGGGTCATTGTCCTGTTGAAAAACAAATGACAGTCCCACTAAGCCCAAACCAGATGGGATGGCGTATCGCTGCAGAATGCTGTGGTAGCCATGCTGGTTAAGTGTGCTTTAAATTCTAAACAAATCACAGACAGTGTCACCAGCAAAGCACCCCCACACCATAATACCTCCTCCTCCATGCTTTACGGTGAGAAATACACATGCGGAGATCATCCGTTCACCCACACCGCGTCTCACAAAGACACGGCGGTTGGAACCAAAAATCTCAAATTTGGACTCCAGACTAAACGACTAATTTCCACTGGTCTAATGTCCATTGCTCGTGTTTCTTTGCCCAAGCAAGTCTCTTCTTCTTATTGGTGTCCTTTAGTAGTGGTTTCTTTGCAGAAATTCGACCATGAAGACCTGATTCACACAGTCTTCTATGAACAGTTGATGTTGAGATGTGTCTGTTACTTGAACTTTATTTGAGCTGCAATTTCTGAGGCTGGTAACTCTAATGAACTTATCCTCTGCAGCAGAGGTAAGTCTGGGTCTTCCATTCCTGTGGCGGTCCTCATGAGAGCCAGTTTCATCATAGCGATTCCCACGGGGGTCAGTATGAAAAATGTATGCACTCACTAATTGTAAGTCGCTCTGGATAAGAGCGTCTGCTAAATGACTAAAATGGCCAAAAAAAATAGCGCTTGATGGTTTTTGTGACTGCACTTGAAGAAACTGTCAAAGTTCTTAAAGTAATGATGGACTGTCGTTTCTCTTTGCTTATTTGAGCTGTTCTTGCCATAATATGTACTTGGTCTTTTACCAAATAGGGCTATCTTCTGTATACCCCCCTACCTTGTCAGAACACAACTGATTGGCTCAAACGCATTAAGAATGAAAGAAATTCCACAAATTAACTTTTAAGAAGGCACACCTGTTAATTGAAATGCATTCCAGGTGACTACCTCATGAAGCTGGTTGAGATAATACCAGGAGTGTGCAAAGCTGTCATCAAGGCAAAGGGTGGCTATTTGAAGAATCTCAAATATAAAATATATTTTGATTTGTTTAACACCTTTTTGGTTACTATATGATTCCATATGTGTTATTTTATAGTTTTGATGTCTTCACTATTATTCTACAATGTAGAAAATAGTAAAAATAAAGAAAAACCCTTGAATGAGTAGGTGTTCCAAAACTTTTGACCAGTAGTGTATTTTCATTAAAAACATTATTTTGATGAATTTATTCATACTATGTCATCCTTCCACGAGATATAGTCCTGACACAAAGCTAATGTTGTTACCCAAGCCGGCTGGTCGGTCGTTCTATCAGTTCGGTTGCCAGAGATGCGACCCAGTCGTTAAGTATTTTTGTTCTGTATCTATGGACGCGACCCAGTCGTTCGTTCTAAATGTTCCATTGCCATACTGGCTGGCAACGTTCTTATCCCTTGCTTGCTTGCTAGCTAGCCAACTACTGCTAATTTATAGTCACCTCAAACAGTGCCGCCAGAATAACAGCAAACTATCTGCATTTTGTTTCGTTTGACCTGTTTTCTATTTACATTTCTTTGTATATACAGTGCATTCGGAAAGTATTCAGACCCCTTCACTTTTTCCACATTTTGTTACGTTACAGCCTTATTCTAAAATGGATTCAATAAAAAAAATCCTCAGCAATCTACACACAATACCCCATAATGACAAAGCAAAAACAGGTTTTTTAGTAATTTTAGGAAATGTATTTTAAAAAATAAAACAGAAAAACCTTATTTACATAAGTATTTAGACCCTTTGCTATGAGACTTGAAATTGAGCTCAGGTGCATCCTGTTTCCATTGATCCACCTTTCTACAACTTGATTCGAGTCCACCTGTGGTAAAGTCAATTGATTGGACACGATTTGGAAAAGCACACATCTGTCTACATAAGGTCCCACAGTTCACAGTGCATGTCAGAGCAAAAACCAAGCCATGAGGTCGAAGGAATTGATCCGTAGAGCTCCGAGACAGGATTGTGTTGAGGCACAGATCTGGGGAAGGGTACAAAAAAATGTCTGTAGCATTGAAGGTCCCCAAGAACACAATGGCCTCCATCATTCTTAAATGGAAGAAGTTTGGAACCACCAAGAGTCTTCCTAGAGCTGGCCGCCCAGCCAAACTGAGCAATCGGGGGAGAAGGGCCTTGGTCAGGGAGGTGACCAAGAACCCGATGGTCACTCTGACAGAACTCCAGAGTTCGTCTGTGGAAATGGGAGAAACTTCCAGAAGGACAACAATCTCTGCAGCAGTCCACCAATCAGGCATTTATGATAGAGTGGCCGGACGGAAGCCACTCCTCAGTAAATGGCACATGACAGCCCGCTTGGAGTTTGCCAAAAGGCACCTAAAGGACTCTCAGACCATGAGGAACATGATTCTCTGGTCTGATGAAACCAAGATTGAACTCTTTGGCCTGAATGCCAAGCGTCACATCTGGAGGAAACCAGGCACCTCTCATCACCTGGCCAATACCATTCCTATGGTGAAGCATGGTGGTGGCAGCATCATGCTGTGGGGATGTTTTTCAGTGGCAGTAACTGGGAGACTAGTCACGATCGAGGGAAAGATGAATGGAGCAAAGTACAGAGAGATCCTTGATGAAAACCTGCGCTCAGGACCTCAGACTGGGGTGAAGGATCACCTTCCAAGTCTCTGAATTTCCTTGAGTGGCCCAGCCAGAGCCCGGACTTGAACCCGATCGAACATCTCTGGAGAGACCTGAAAATAGCTGTGCAGCGACGCTTCCCATCCAACCTGACAGAGCTTGAGAGGATCTGCAGAGAAGAATGGAAGAAACTCCCCAAATACAGGTGTGCCAAGCTTGTAGCGTCATACCCAGGAACCCTCAAGGCTGTAATCGCTGCCAAAGGTGCTTCAACAAAGTTCTGAGTAAAGGGTCTGAATACTTATGTAAATGTGATATTTCCGTTTATTTTATTTTTTTGGCAAAAGTTCTAAAAACCTGTTTTTGCTTTGTCATTATGGGGTATTGTGTGTAGATTGATGAGTGGAAAAAACGATTTAACTATTTAATCCATTTTAGAATAAGGCTGTAACGTAACAAAATGTGGAAAAAGTGAAGTTGTCTGAATAATTTACTAATGCACTGTATCCATAAAAATGATGCCAGCTGATTCATGATTTCGACTGGCTGAGAAACACTGCCTGTCAGTCCATCTCGTCCCGACTCCCGACACGTTCATTACTATGGGACAGCTGGAGATCGAATTTTTATATTGAAACAATGTTGCAGATGTTGGAGAGACAGAAAGCAAGGTTTATACAAATCTCTGCTGTTGAAAACCAAATTCTAGTCTAAAAGAAATAGGAGATAATGTCTAGATGCTTTTTATAGTGGAGATCAAATTCATAAATTGCCTGGCTGGGCTGATGAGACAGTGGATTGCGCAGTGAGATGGAACAGAGTAAATAGGCATTTCAACGTCATAGCTTTAGCCGGTGGTAACTTGTGGAATAGACCACGGCTGGAATGTGGTTTAACCAATCAGCATCCAGGATTAAACCCACCCGTTGTATAATCTAGGATACTGTTGTTCATAATGTATTAGATGACCACAGCGAATGCATATATTTATCTTCTACAGGGTCAAGGTTGGGGAGGACCACCTGACCACCTGACTCCACTGCTCCCAAGAGAGAGATGCACACCTGTTCCTTTGAAACACTCAGACGTGTGTTACTAATCTGGTAACACAGGTTGGGGACCTGGACAAACTTGGCTGCAAGAGGGGTTGGGTCACAGCCACAGCCCAAAGGTGGGTTCCAAGGGATCGGCATCCACTATTCAGATTCAGTGGGTTTGGATCAATTGACCCTCTGAGATTCAACCTTCTCAGAGCAAACTGAAGATTCCGGAAGGATTTAAACTGTGATTTAGCTGATTGCTGTGTTGTTGAGACAAGAAGACTGTAAAGACATTGATTTACTGGAATTTGTCATATCTTCACAAAGGATAGTTTTTTTTTACTGAAACCGTGTGTGGAAACTAACATTTTCAACTGTCAAAACAGAAAAACCAACATCCCAAAAACACCCAAGAGTTCACAACCATTTCAGAAAATATGCCCTGCCTTCCGCTTCCTTGTTCATCTTTGTCCCGCCCCATAATGTCCGTAAACCCCACCTTGTTCCTTGGATTAATTCTGTTCCTCCAAAGGGGTCCCTCAGGGGCCAGTGCTCAGAATGACACTGAGCCAATCGTGTTAGAGGGGAAGTGCCTGGTGGTTTGTGACTCCAGCCCCTCGTCGGAACCGTCGGGTAACGCTCTGGGGATGTCGGTGCGGTCGGGGACCGGTCGTGTGGCCTTCTCCACTGTCAGGAACACCAACCACGAACCCTCGGAGATGAGCAACCGTACTATGACCATATATTTTGACCAGGTTAGCGAGTGTGACCATAAACCATTACCATCCAGGAGACTGAATACCTATATTAGCCACAATTATAAAATCAACTTTTACCCGAGTGAGTGACGAATTTCACCACCAACTGTACATCAATGAGAGCTTAAGGTAAACTCTCTCTCTTTTTCTCTGCCTCCGCCCGCTCTCTTTCTCTCTCTTTCTCTCTCTTACTTCTTCTCCCCCCACCCCTCTCCCTCTCTCCCTCTCTCTCTCTCTCTCTCTCTCGCTCTCTCTCTCTCTCTCTTCCTCCCTCCCCCTCTCTCTCTCCCTCTCTCTCTCTCTCTCCCTCTCTCTCTCAGATCCTTGTGAATGTGGGCAGCCATTTTGATCCAGCACGGAGCATCTTCGTGGCTCCTAGAAAAGGAGTGTATAGTTTCTGTTTCCACGTGGTCAAGGTCTATAACCGACAGACGATTCAGGTGAGACAAACATGAGGACACAAATACAAAGTTGATGCCCAAAACAACGTCAGGGCATAGGAAGGTAAGGTCATGCCAAAAGACCACGATTGATCTTGTTCCTTGTCTCCTGCACCGTCTATCTCTCTCTCTATTCTATATTGCTCTCTCTCCCTCTACCCCTCCACCTCCCTTTCCCCGCCTCCCCCTCCCTCCATCCATCCCTTTCTTTCAGGTGAGTCTGGTTTTAAATGGACACCCGGTCATCTCAGCCTTTGCCGGGGACCAAGACGTGACCAGGGAAGCAGCCACCAACGCTGGCCTGGTCACCATGGAGAGAGGAGACAAGGCTTATCTCAAACTGGAGAGAGGGAACCTGATGGGGGGATGGAAATACTCCACCTTCTCAGGGTTTCTGGTGTTTCCTTTGTAAGGAGGGAGGGAGGGAGGGAGGGAGGGAGGGAGGGAGGGAGGGAGGGAGGGAGGGAGGGAGGGACGAGGAGGCATGTGGGGAGATAGGAGTGAGAGAATAAGAGAGGGGTAGGGTAGGCAAGTGATGGGATAGATAGAGGACGTGAGAGAGAGAGAGAGAGAGAGAGAGAGAGAGAAGTGGGGGAGGATAGGAGAAAGATAAATGAAGTGAAAGCGAGAGAGCGCAAGACAGACTGAGGAGGAGTTTGTATCACTAAAATCCTGAATGTTACCATTTTGCATTAACACTTTTTTGTATACACTGCTCCAGCATATGAATGATACTGTATATTGTACAGTACGTTTCATGCTTGTGTAGTTATGTATTGTGTATTTTATTCAACTTCCTTTGAAGCATGAAATGCTAATAATTACATAATAATAATTGTTCTAAAGGTAATAAAAGACAGTGAAATCTTTGTAAGTAAAGTTCAATCGAGTACAGGCTTAACTGAATGAACAACAGAGACAGAATGCAATATTGCATTTTATTGAATAGTTTGGGGGTATGGCCTCGTCTCCGAGGAATGCTCCTCGGAGCCAGATGCTGATGACAGGTAGCCCTGATGACAGCTGGGCAGCTGGCATCGAACCCCCCCCCCCACTCTGATATACTTCATGAATGCAGGCCCAGATCCCAAATGTAAACATAAGGGGTGAGTGACCCTGTAACTGTATTATAGAAGTTGACCTTAACCACAGATCTAGGATCAGTTTCTATGATTCTATGCTCCCTATCCTAACCTCAACCGTTAAAGAGATTACATCAAATCTGACCCTGAATCAGTAATTAAGGGAAACCTCTACCTTCTCAAAAGCTGTGCATCTGTTAGTCCTGTAAATAGCGCGGACACCTTCAACGCTTCGAGTGGAGGATTCTGGGTAAGCGCTCCTGCAGCTCGCCCTGGCGGATCCGGTGGCAGATGGTAGTTTTGGCGAGGGGTGTGTGTGTGTGTGTGTGTTGCCAGGAACCTATGGGTTTCACACCGTACACTGTCTCTTGCTGCTTGAATACCGAGTGGAGGCATGTAAGAATATATAGGAGGGGGTGTTTGTTCGTTCTTTAAAGATGTGTGTGTTTATAGAAGTGTTACTATAAGATTATAAGCTTAATACGTGCAGATATATGAACCATACACGCCAAACTATTCATATAAATTCTATTGAAACACAATAAACATTATAAAGGGAAAAATAGACTTGTTCTAGTGGTAAGACAGATGAAAACACTGATGGTCATTCTGTAAAGCTGAGCTTTTTATTGACTTCCCTGAAGCACAACAAATTGAGAACTTGTTTTAGTACAAAGATATAAAAGTGTCAGTACAGACCAGTCCCTCGTGGGCAAATTTAACAGAATGAAAAGGACAAAGATGGATCAATCCATGCTCTCTAGCTGCACAGGATTTCATCATTCAAAATGTTACAAAAAAGTAATTAAAAAAAAGGAGAATTATCCTTTAAAATTTCATTTTTTTTAAGGAGAGTGAATCTCAATATTTTGTGTTTTTATTACAGATAGATTAGAAACAGAGGAGATGACAGGTTAAGATGAGAGACAAAGTGTGAGAGGCGGTCGAGGATTGAACCCCGGTCTCCGGCAGGGATTCGTTCACGGGCATAGAGCTGGGAGTGTTACTGACTTCACCATGGCTCAGGAGCTTTAGGGTTCCTTGGCTGCGCTGCTGGGAAGTTAACTCTAGATGGGGCTGTGGGGTTTCTGTGGCGTTTACTTTGATGTTGCGACCCGATGAACATGCAGTTATTGTCACCCAACTGGAATCCTGTCACATTGCTCATGTTGATGTAGATTCCATCTGGATGAGAAATTGGTTATGGGTGTATCTTAATAGTCTGTCCTTGATTCCTCACGTCATCCACAACAAGCATTGGAGGAGAAGGTCCCATGTCCCTCCCTTCAGACCTTCTCCTCCAATGCGTGCTTAGGAGGCAAGTAATCAAGGAAATACTTTTAAGATTCACCCAGCTCTATCTCAACAGTTCTCTCATTTCCTCCTTTTCAAAATGTCTTCAAGAAGAGGAAATGCTTCCTTCTGACACTTTGTAAAGGATGCATGGCAGCATGGAAAGACTTGAGAAAAAGCGTAGACATTTTAAACACCTCTTAAAAGGATAGTTCACCCAAATTACAAAATGGCGTATTGGTTTCCTTACCCTGGAAGCAGTTTATGGACAAGGTATGACGGCAATCCATGTTTTGGTTTCGTTTACCTGGCACTGTTTCCACATGCTAACATTTTAGCATTTGTGGCACAAATCCCATTCAAGTCATGGGACCGATATTATAATTTCCTGCACATCATGTCCAAATCATACTGAAAGTATCTACAATGTATGGTGAAGCTCAAAACAGTAATTTATTGATGATTTGAACATAATCTGTGGAAAATGCTAATATCGTTCCCATGACTTGAATGGGATTTGTGCAACAAATGCTAAAATGTTAACACACGGAAACAGTGCCAGGGAAACTAAACCAAAGCATGGATTGCTGTCATACCGTGTCCATAGACTGGTTCCAGGGTAAGGAAACCAATATGTAACTTGGGTGGCCTATACCTTTAACCAATAGACACATAGAAAGAAAATAGACTGAAAGTAATACCTGTGGAATAATTGGATGGGGTAACTGGAGTGGAATGCTGGCGCTGAAAGGAGAAATTAGAGAGTAAATATTATCATTTTTATTTATTTTATTTTATCAGGGAGTCATACTGAGACCAAGGTATATTTTACAGATGAGCCCTGAATTACATAAATTATAGAAAATACACACATCAAAATGTAAGCAGAAAGAAAAAAATGATTTTAAAAAAACAACACATTCATCAGTATTAAGGTCCTTCTTTAATCAGCTATCTGAATTTCCCTAGAGGCAACGAAAAATCAAATTTAAGAACATTTTGAAGATCGTTCCACTAATAAGGTGAAAGAAAACAAAAAGCTGATTTACTCAGTAGAGTTAGGCATCTCTGAGACCGGGTATGGTATCTCCTATGTCCAAAGTTTATAACTTGGTCACATTGTAGCCTACGACATGAGCTTTAGTCATGACTTTGGTTTCATTGATTCAGCAGAATAAAACATTTTAGTGTTCACTTCACTGTTCAATTATTATACAGTGGCTTGCAAAAGTATTCACCCCCCTTGGCATTTTTCCTATTTTCTTGCCTTACAACCTGGAATTAAAATGGATTTTTGGGGGGTTTGTATCATTTGATTTACACAACATGCCTACCACTTTGAAGATGCAAAATATTTTTTATTGTGAAACAAACAAGAAATAAGACAAAAAAACAGTGCATAACTATTCATCCCCCCAAAGTCAATACTTTGTAGAGCCACCTTTTGCAGCAATTACAGCTGCAAGTCTCTTGGGGTATGTCTCTATAAGCTTGGCACATCTAGCCACTGGGAATTTTGCCCATTCTTCAAGGCAAAACTGCTCCAGCTCCTTCAAGTTGGATGGGTTCCGCTGGTGTACAGCAATCTTTAAATAATACCACAAATTCTCAATTGGAATGAGGTCTGGGCTTTGACAAGGCCATTCCAAGATATTTAAATGTTTCCCCTTAAACCACTCGAGTGTTGCTTTAGCAGTATGCTTAGGTTCATTGTCCTGCTGGAAGGTGAACCTCCGTCCCAGTCTCAAATCTCTGGAAGACTGAAACAGGTTTCCCTCAAGAATTTTCCTGTATTTAGCGCCATCCATCAATTCTGACCAGTTTCCCAGTCCCTGCCGATGAAAAACATCCCCACAGCATGATGCTGCCACCACTATGCTTCACTGTGGGGATGGTGTTCTCAGGTGATGAGAGGTGTTGGGTTTGCGCCAGACATAGCGTTTCCCTTGATGGCCAAAAAGCTCAATTTTAGTCTCATCTGACCAGAGTTCCTTCTTCCATATGTTTGGGGAGTCTCCCACATGCCTTTTGGCGAACACCAAACATGTTTGCTTATTTTTTTCTTTAAGCAATGGCTTTTCTCTGGCCACTCTTCCGTAAAGCCCAGCTCTGTGGAGTGTACGGCTTAAAGTGGTCCTATGGACAGATACTCCAATCTCCGCTGTGGAGCTTTGCAGCTCCTTCGGGGTTATCCTTGGTCTCTTTGTTGCCTCTCTGATTAATGCCCTCCTTGCCTGGTCCGTAAGTTTTGGTGGGCGGCATTCTCTTGGCAGGTTTGTTGTGGTGCCATATTCTTTCCATTTTTTAATAATGGATTTAATAGTGCTCCGTGGGATGTTCAAAGTTTCTGATATTTTTTTGTAACCCAACCCTGATCTGTACTTCTCCACAACTTTGTCCCTGACCTGTTTGAGTGCTCCTTGGTCTACATTGTGCCGCTTGCTTGGTGGTGCCCCTTGCTTAGTGGTGTTGCAGACTCTGGGGCCTTTCAGAACAGGTGTATATATACTGAGATCATGTGACAGATCATGTGACACAGATTGCACACAGGTGGACTTTATTTAACTAATTATGTGACTTCTGAAGGTAATTGGTTGCACCAGATCTTATTTAGGGGCTTCATAGCAAAGGGGGTGAATACATATGCACGCACCACTTTTCCGTTATTTATTTTTTAGAATTGTTGGAAACAACTTCTTTTTTTCATTTCACTTCACCAATTTGGACTATTTTGTGTATGTCCATTACGTGAAATCCAAATAAAAATCCATTAAATTACAGGTTGTAATGCAACAAAATAGGAAAAACACCAAGGGGGATGAATACTTTCGCAAGGCACTGTATAACGGTTATTTTGGGAACACGTTTCCATACAGAAACATGACTCTGTACCTGAAAATGTCCCGCTGGACTTTGATTAGACGCATAGGGGGAAGCTGTTGGTTTGCAGTCATGATTGGGTACAGGTTTTGGTTTGAGATTGGTTGAAGAATGGACTGGAATCTGCATTTGACCTTCTCACTGGCTGCGATGGGGGTTGAAGGGACGAATACTCTATGAGAGAAAAGAATAAACAAAGAATCTTGTGAAGGGATAATACATTTTGTTATCAAACATTCAAACATTAATGGCCAGAAAGGTTTCCCCTTTCAACCTCATTGATTACTAAGCAACCACCAACGACAACCTGTTCCCAAAATAACCGTTATACAGTGCCTTGCAAAAGTATTCATCCCCCTTGGTGTTTTTCCTATTTTGTTGCATTACAACCTGTACTTTAAATTGATTTTTATTTGGATTTCATGTAATGGACATACACAAAATAGTCCAAATTGGTGAAATGAAGAAAATAACTTGTTTCAAAAACTTCTAAACAATAAATAACAGAAAAGTGGTGCGTGCATATGTATTCATCCCATTTGTTATGAAGCCCCTAAATAAGATCTGGTGTAACCAATTACCTTCAGAAGTCACATAATTAGTTAAATAAAGTCCACCTGTGTGCAATCTAAGTGTCACATGATCTCAGTATATATACACACACCTGTTCTGAAAGGCCCCAGAGTCTGCAACACCACTAAGCAAGGGGCACCACCAAGCAAGCGGCACCATGAAGACCAAGTTATGCACGTTCTGTTTTTTTGTCTTATTTCTTGTTTTTTCACACACAAAATTATTTTGCATCTTCAAAGTGGTAGGCATGTCGTGTAAATGAAATGGTACAAACCCCCCAAAAATCTATTTTAATTCCAGGTTGTAAGGCAACAAAATAGGAAAAATGCTAAGGGGGGTGAATACTTTCGCAAGCCACTGTACCTTTATATTTCTGTTTCGAGGTCAAACCACCAGCCGTTTCCTGTAGCAAAACAAGAACAGGAAGTCAAGTTATATACCTTGGTCGATTATACTCATAACACCACCACTGTTATGTTACACGTTACACAAGTATGCAGACTCATGTTACTGTGTAGGCCCTTCTGTTTTCTCATAAACAAGATGCTTTTCCTTCAATATAGGAATAACAAAATAGGTCCTGTATAATGTTTGTATAATATTTATTTATTTATATTTATCAGAAACCAATTTTCCATTTTCCTATTTGAGCATCTGATGCAAAATATATACACTTATTAACTTTAGATCCATACCTGGCTCAGGGGGGAAGTTTCCCCTAGGTACAGATCTAGGATCAGCTTCCTCTCCCCCAATCCTAACCTTAACCATTACTGAGGAAAATGCAAAACTGACCAGTGTCAAAGGCCAACTTCACCATACACCGCATACCTGTCTTCGGGGAGGTTCAGTCTTCACACGATCAGAGATTTCCACTTTGTGTTTTTGAATTCCTGTGAAAGATGAATGAATTAATGAATGAACAGATTAATGAATGAATGAATGAATGAATGAATGAACAGATGAACGAATTAACAAATGAATGAATGATAACTGCAGTGGTAATATAAGATTTTTGAGTTGTTTTAAAGGGTTGTACCTGATGGCTGTGAGATATGAAGGTCAGCGACAGTGGATGTTATACTCTGATCACTCTCTGAGTTCTAGAGGGAGAGAGAAAGAGAGAGACCGACAAACAGAGGTGGGAGTTAGAATGCGAGGTAGACGTAGTTGTTTAATAAAGGTGACTAGTACTGTTATGGTACTGAAAGCTTTGAACGACAGGGTCATCTTTAGTACCAGTTTCTTCTGCACTTCATGAACGGCATCAATTATCCCTTGTTTGTGTTTCTCGTAAATCATCTCTGTCACAGCAAGGCAGTCTGAACACCCAAAATAATAGAGCCACAGGTCACAAGAAAATATGTGATATACTCCGGGATCATAAACACAACAAATTCATAACATATTGCAATTTTGATTTGTAACATATCCACCCCCCTCCAGGCTCTTGTCTTACCTAGGAATGAGGGTCTCAGGGTGGGCTTCATATCCCAGCATCTCTTCATGAGGTCCACCAGTTCCACCAGCCCTTCGACCTGGACCCTGTCCAAAGTGGCCAGAGAGGGTCTATCCCCCTGGGGGATCCGGAACCGCACCAAACTGGACTGGGCATCTAGGGGGAGGGGAGGAGGAGGAGAGGGAGGGGGGTGAATTAGAGGAAAGAAAAAGTGGGTAGATCTTTGATGGGTAAATGTATTTATTTGTGTGTTAGGACTAGTCACTCACTAGGATATGGCTCTTCGCCAGTGATAATGGACCAGAGTAGTATGCCATAGCTGTTAGAAAGAGAACAATAATCATCATGATAGCCATGTACCGTATCTTTTTCCTACTACAGTGCCATCAGAAAGTATTTTCAACATTTTGTTGAGTTACAAAGTGGGATTAAAATTAATTCAAATTGTAATTTCTTGTCAACGATTTACACAAAATACTCTGTAATGTCAAAGTGGAAGAAAAATTCTTAAGATTTGTAAAAAATGTAATAATAATAATAAAGATTTTTTTTAACGAATATATCTTGATTAGGTAAGTATTCAACACCCTGAGTCAATACATTTTAGAATCACCTTTGGCAGCGATTACAGCTGTGAGTCTTTCTGGGTAAGTCTCTAAGAGCTTTCCACACCTGGATTGTGTAACATGTACCCATTATTCTTTTCAAAATTCTTCAAGCTCTGTCAAATTGGTTGTTGATCATTGCTAGACAACTATTTTCAGGTCTTGCCATAGATGTTCAAGCAGATTTAAGTCAAAACTGTAACTAGGCCACTCAGGAATATTCCCTGTCTTCTTGGTAAGCAACTCCAGTGTATATTTGGCCTTGTGTTTTAGGTTATTGTCTTGCTGAAAGGTGAATTCATCTCCCAGTGTCGGGTGGAAAGCAGACTGAACCAGGTTTTCCTCTAGGATTATGCCTGTGCTTAGCTCCATTCCGTTTCTTTTTTTGTCCTTAAAAACTACCTAGTCCTTAACTGTAAGGGTTGGTGTGAGGTGTGACCCAGGTGCGGTGCAGGATAGACAGTAGGCAGTAGGCAGAGATGGCGAAACAAGGATCTTTACTGATGGTCCCGAAGCCAGAATACAAAATAACGGACTTTACACGAAAAAGAAAGGCGGAGCAAATAAGACTCCAAAAAACAGGCTGCCAGCCAAAATACGAAATACTAACTGTGACTGAAATAATAAATAAACAGGGAGAACACTTCTCACGTACCTGTCCATACATCCCGTGATCAGACACTGATTAGCACTGCTTGGCATAGTGAAACTAGCAGAGAAAACTGAGCAAGGGAACACAGGGAAGTGAGGGCATAAATACACAGGTGAACAGGTAGACACAGGTGACACCAATAGGATGATGATTAGTCCAGACTGTGAGTGAGGAGGTGCCTAAGGTTGTCGGAGGATTACACCTAGTGGGTCGCTCCGGAACTGTGACCCCCTCCTGTAACACTTAACGATTACAAGCATACCCATAACATGATGCAGCCACCACTATGCTTGAAAAATATGGAGAGTGGTACTCAGTAATGTGTTGTATTGTATTAGCCCCAAACATAACCCTTTCTATTCAGGACAAAAAGTTAATTGCTTAGCCAAATTAGTATTAGTATTACTTTAGTGCCTTGTTGCAAACAGGATCCATGTTTTGGAATATTGTACAGGCTTCCTTCTTTTCAGTCGGTCAATTAGGTTTGTATTGTGGAGTAACTACAATGTTGTTGATCCATCCTCAGTTTTCTCTTATCAGAGCCATTGAAGAGCGGCAGGTAGCACAGCAGTTAGAACGTTGGGATCGCAACCAAAAGGTTGCTTGTTCAAATCCCAGAGCCGGCAAGGTGGAAAGTTCTGCCCTTGAGCAAGGCAGTTAACTCCCACAACAACTGCTCCCTGGGCACCTATAACATGGATGTCAATTAAGGCAGCCCCCCGCACCTCTCTGATTCAGATGGGTTGGGTTGAATGCTTTCAGTTGTGCAACTGACTAGGTATCCCCATTAAACTCTGTAACTGTTTTATAATCACCATTGGCCTCATGGTGAAATCCCTGAGCAGTTTCCTTCCTCTCCGGCAACTGAGTTAGGAAGGATGCCTGTATCTTTGTAGTGACTGGGTGTATTCATACACCATCCAAAGTGTAATTAATAACTTCACCATGCTCAAAGGAATATTCAATTATTTGCGAGGGATTGGAAATGTACTGCTCGACTGAGGGACATTACATATAATTGTGTGTGGGGTACAGATATGAGGTGGTCATTCAAAAATCATGTTAAACACTATTATTGCATACAGTCCATGCAACTTATTATGTGACTTGTTAAGCACATTTTTACTCCGGAACTTATTTAGGCTTGCCACAACAAAGGGGTTGAATACTTATTGACTCAAGATATTTCAGCTTTTCCTTTTTAATGAATTTGTAAAAATTTCGATAAACATAATTCCACTTTGTATGTAGGCCAGTGACACAAAATCTCAATGTAATCTATTTTAAATTCAGGCTGTAACACAACATAATGTGGAAAACGTCAAGGGGTGTGAAAACTTTATGTATCCATTCAGTTCACAAGCATTTTGCTGCACGTTTTATACCTGCTGTAAACTGTTTTATTATTATTATCCTGAATGATGCCTCGAGAAATATCAATTGATTCAATGGTGTATACATACCTGTAGATATCCGAGGCGTGGGTGGGCTTGTATGTCATGTCAAAAGCCTCTGGTGGCATGTAACTTAATGTACCGCCGTCCTCTCCCGTGTCCTTCCTGTTCGCTTTGGAAACGCTGTGGTAAACCCTGGCTAGGCCGAAATCTGTCAGCTGGAGAGAGAGAGAGAGAGAGAGAGAGAGAGAGAGCGAGAGAGAGATGAATACACATGATATACATGAATACACATTAGACATGGCAAAATGTATAGAATTGCAGAGGGGTGTGAACAGTTTGTGTCATTAACAGTGCTTGTGCCCATAGAAATAGACGTGGCGCTTCACGCAGCGGGAGGCGCGAGATGTTCCCCAATGCTGGAAGGGGGGTCCGGAGTGAAAACGCTTAGGAACCCCTGCTCTATATGATACAATTACAGGTCAATAATAAGATAATAAGTAAGCCTTATCCGAGACAGAATGGCCCATAGGGCAGGAGCCTATCTCCTGTTCCTGTAGCGTGAGGCAGCTTGATGGACAAGTACACACCCTGGACAGGACACTAGGCTGTCGCAAGGCCTTAATAGCCAATAATAGTGAAGATGTATCAAACCCAGGAGCCTGGGACTTGCCTTGGCGTGGAGGCTGTCATCCAGCAGCACGTTACTGGGCTTGAGATCCAGGTGCAGCAGGGGCGGATCGAGGTGGTGGAGGAAGTTCATTCCCAGAGCCACCTGGTGGACCAGGCGGAAGGACAGAGGCCAGGGTGGGGGGGCGGAGAGACGTTCCTGGAGGGCCGCCAGGGATCCCCTCTCCATAAACTGTCGAGTAAAGTATAGATGAAAAGAAGCTATTATTAATTAATTAATTACCAACCGTGTATATTTTGATCCAGAGGATCTGAGTCAGTAAGTCAGACTTATTCACAGTAGGTATTATTTACCTCCATGACCAGGCCCAGGTGGCTGGAGAGGCCGGAGCAGGGGGGACATCCCTGGTACACCCCTAGGATCCTGAGGACATACGAGCTCCCCCCCTGGCGCATGAGGTCTGCCTCTCTGAGCAGAGACGAGCTGGAGCTTGTGTGTATGTATGTGTTTGTGTGTGTGTGGGATGGGTAGGTAGGTAGAGGTGTGTGTGCATGTGTGGAGGGAGAAAATAATTGACAGAGATATAGGCAACATGTTATTGAGGCAAATTAGGGATTTGCCCGGGCCGGGACTCGAACCCGGTTCCAACGACTGTCAACCTAACAGTCGTTACGCCAAGAGATCCGAACCCCTTGACGAGATCAATAGGTGTTGAGTTAACTATGGTCGCTACAATATGAATATGCACTTAACTCAAGAATGTACTTTTTTGCAAAGTTGTGAAATAGGCAATAGTCCTACTTACCCATCATCATAATGCAGCAACTTGATGGCCACGTCCAACCCCCAATCTACATGTCTGGCCTTGTGGATCTGTCCAAACCCTCCTGAGCCAATCACACACCAGTTCTGCAGGCTGTCATCACCAATCAGCAATGGAGCCGGACAACTGGACAGTTCCATCTTTCACCAGGAGGCCAAGGAGATATACTGCAACTAGACCATAAGGGAAACAATGGATTGTTAAAGCATGTGTGATGATGTACAATAGAATGTACAGAACGTATGCTACAATACGCCACAAAGTAACTGATTTACTGTAGCTACTGAGCAAAATGCAAAGGTGAGAAGGACAGACAACCAGAAAGAATACCATTAAGCCAGAAATAGAAACAAAGACAGAGAAAGAAAGAGACAGCGAGAGAGAGAGAGAGAGAGAGAGAGAGAGCCCTTAAATTGAATTGAAATTGAGAGAGAGAGAGAGAGAGAGAGAGAGAGAGAGAGAGAGAGAGAGAGAGAGAGAGCGAGAGCGAGAGCGAGAGCGAGAGAGAGAGAGAAAACAAATCCAATGTTGATAAACTCCCATATCTATTGGGTGAAATACCACAGTGTGCAATCACAGCAGAAATATGTGTGAAAAGGGCAACCAGTGAAGAATGAAGAACAAACACCATTGTAAATACAACCCATATTTAAGTTCATTTATTTCCCCTTTTGTACTTTAACTATTTGCACATCCTTATAACACTAATATGACATTTGAAATGTCTTTATTCCTTTGAGACTTTTGTGAGTGTAATGTTTACTGTTAGATAGAGAGAGAGATAGAGAGAGAGATAGAGAGAGAGAGAGAGAGAGAGAGGAGAGAGAGAGAGAGAGAGAGAGAGAGAGAGAGAGAGAGTAAAGACTCAATCTCTCAACTATAATGATATTTTCCTTCGTACTCTTTAACTTCCTCAATTGTAATCTACCATTCAAGAAAAATAAAACATCTGAACATTCCCTGTTCAGACAGACAACAGAACCTGGCTTACCTTTGTGGTTTTCATGTTCTTTACAACAACAGGAATTATTAAAAACACTATTTTGCAATGGAATAGTAGCGAAAATGACCAAACCTGTTGTGTCAAAAATATATCAGTTCATTTTCTGCGAGATTTTTTGTTAATGGCGGTGTGCTTCTCATAAACTTATTTCACTTCCCATCAAGAGTTCACAGACTCAGAGGGATGACGCGCTGATTGCGTGACACCTGATTAGTGGCAGTTGTAAAATGTGCATCTTTTCGTAGCCTTTTCTTGACAAGGACATGTTTTATTATTATTTTGAAAAATGTCCTAATGCAGTGTATTTTGAAAATAACGTTTATTTTCTAGAATAATCGTTTTCAATTCCAATACATAGTCTATTTTATGTATTGTTATGGATTTAGACTAAATTTTAGTTCACATCGACACTACCTATCTATGGAAAGGGTAGTTTTATGTCGCACGTGACGTAAATGGAAGATCCCTTAATGCTCGGTTTATTCTGGTTTCCACTAGACAGCACAGCTACAAAGTCAAAATTGACTATATCGTAAAAATTCATGAAAACAAAAATCTGCTATTTGGTTTTAATTTAAGGTTTAGCCATACGACTAGCAGTGTGTTTAGAGTCAAGGTAAGGTTTAAAGTACACATTTAAGGAGATAAATTGTAGAAATAGGCGGGGTTCGTGACTTTGTGGATGTGCTAACTAGTGACGACCGTTAACGCTCTCTGTTTTTATCGTACAGCCTAGTGTATCTGCGCATTTATGTTTATTTACAATCGCATGTTGTTGTTATGTACAAGTGTGTAAAGTCACTTCGTATCTGATATTTATGTAGGCCTACAGTGCCTAATTCGAAAAGCACCAAATATATTTAATACATTATTAAAAGGTAAATGTCGGGGATTTTACCGATAATAACCAATTGAAATCGTGCGTGTTACTCTGGCTACACGATATAGAAGGTGAGTTGACTTTACGTATGTCGCAGATACTCCAGCCTTTATTTTACGTATGTCGCAGATACTCCAGCCTTTATGTTGTTGTGTCTGTATAGTGTCTGTTTTAAAGGCCATAAAACTTCAGACAGAACTTTCTACAGTAGCCTAACTCTGTCACTCAATTCACAAACTTTCTCGTATACTATTACCAACCGCTACTGTCACGTCGTTTTTTGTGTTCACGGTACTTGTGACTCATTGTTTTATGATCGCAGAAGATAAAACCAAGTTATTCAAATACTAGAAATCGAAACTGAGAGAAGCGACAGTGAAGCAACTTCGGGAAAAGGATGAATGAGGTTAGTGAATTATTGTGTTGAGTTGGTTCATAATATTATTTAAATGTAGCCTATTGCCTACAATTAACTTTGTAAATGAAAGAAAACTATTATAGCTGTTGTTGTGGACGATATTGTATTTAGAGAGTGTGTTAGTCAATGTACCTGTTATTATTCTGCGTTTATAACCAAGTGGTGGTAGGCCTAATTACTTAAGTCGTAAATAACAGATGCATTCACGTGCTTTGAACTCGTTGAGAAACGGGCGATTGGCTAATGGCCAACAACAAACTGCCACAACCATAAACTAAAAGTACATAATCATGTTTGTAAACAAATTATAGTTTTCATAAACCGTGTTAATAGATTGCTTTTTATAAATAATGTTTTGTTGTTGTATTTAACTCCAGAAAATGCTGTTATCAAGGTATTTTCCTTAGTAGGTGACATCAGAAAAGTGTCCTCTAAGTCCCAGTACAAGTGGAAAACAAAATAGTGTTGTGACGTTTCACCACTGACCTTTGACCTTTTCAACCAAAAGATGACGACAAATCCGTTTTTGAAACTGCAACCTTATCAGTATGGATAATATAGCTAGACCATATTGTCAATGTTAAGTAGCAACGTTAGCTAGCTTAACAAGCTACCTAAAATCTTATTGGTTGAAGAATTGTTCCGACTTCAAAAGCACTTGAACACAATCATGTAGGACTTCCCAGTTTCCCATTTCCCACATGAATGTGAAACCAGCAGGAGCTCAGGAATGATAGACGACTTTCCCACTTGTAATTACCAGTGGCGATTTTAGCATGTAAATCTTGGTGGGGCAAACACATTTATTTTTTTATTTTTTTAGATGCATGCCAGCAAAGCCACTACACAACACAACACTAAACAATACATTATTTTCACTATAAAAGTGACAAACGGTGCCCACAAACGGTTAGGGCCTACATAAAGCTCTCCCAACAGCAGATTCCCAACAGCAATCCCAACACCTTACCACTGCTACACCTGGCTATCAACAGAGCCTTGTTTGGCAGCGAAACAGTTTATTCAGCCTCATTTACTGCCTTTAAAAAAAACATAGCTGATATGGCTGACTTGTTTAAACAAATGTGGTTTCTACTGACAATTGAGATGTACAAACTATGGCATAAGGGGACGACAAGCGGATAAGAGGCAATCCGTAATTTCGATTAAGCCATTAATGAGCGAGCTACGACGGACGTAGTCAATATAACCATTTGTTCAGCACTTTTGAAATGTACAGCGACAGAATTCAGAACATGGGCCGTTCTTACAGTGTTCTCCCTGTACACCAAGTCAGAACCGTAGGATAAATAAAGGGGGCATATAAGCAGACAATGAAAGCTCTTACAATATTCGATGATGACATTTCTCTAAAACAGGCTATAGGCTGCAATGCTTGCAGTTAGCCACTGATTCCTTCCAAACCACTCATTGTTGAATTTGTGATTTCCAACTTGTTGTCCAATGGCCGATGAGCACCGATACGTTTTATCTATAATTTCTCTTCATAATTTCTCTTCATATGACAAGGATTGAAAAAGATTTGCCAGTAGATTGTCGACTTGATTCATGATGATGACTGCTAGCTTGCTAGCTAAGATTTTGAAAGTATGATGTTGATATGATCAGTCCAATCAAAGCTACTGTAGATATAACGTGATTTGACGTCATTTTATCTGTGGCCAATGATCTTGAGCCTTCTTGGATGGGCACTTCTAATGTAACTCTATGCAGCACCCAAGGGGCTTGAATTTTCGAGCTCTCCCCGTAGATTTTGCGGTGACGTAGTGTCCCCATGAGTGACAGAATATTGAGCCAATCACGGCGCAACTAGAGAACATTACCAACCCCTACACTCTGTATATTCTGCTGGCTGCCCCACCACCACAGAAATCACTGAGCTAGGCTGAAACACCTGCATTTTGCAGCTGCCTTATACTCAAGAAACCAAAAAATAGACCATGTTTGTATGCAGCTTTATTAATTCAATGAATGTTTTTTTTTTTTACATTGTTTGCACACTGATATGTGACATGTATTAATGCCAAAATAACATGCAAAACAGGCACAAAAAATATATATATTATTTTTTATTTGTCAAATAAATGACGTGTTGCCACTGGTAATTACCAGTTGGAGGGGCGTTCAAGTGGGGTTTTCCCAGTCATATGTGGTAAATACCACCATCCCACTTGGTTATGAATACAGCTTAATTACCTATAGATGAGTCTCGCGAGGCCATCCGTCCAAATCTCGTCTCGTCGACCTATAGATCTATGCTAATATGATTGTCATTGGGTGACATGGGCAAATCAAAATGTATTGGTTGGGTACACAGATTTGTAGATGTTTTCACAGCGAAATGCTTGCGTTTCTAGCTCCAGCAATGCAGTTGACATAATCTATTAAATAATAATAAGTACATTTATATTAAGTTATTCATATTTTATTTTAAATAAACAGACATGGATCTTTCTCTCTCTGTCTTCTCTCTCTCAATTTTAAAATTCAATATCAAAATGCTTTATTGGCATGACGGAAATTCCATGTGTATTGTCTCTCTCTCTCTCGCTCTCTCCCTCCCTCCCTCCCCACCGTTTCAGTGAGTTCTAACACCTTCACAGTCCCATGGCCTCTGCCCTAAGCCATCTCTCTCCAATGTCTGTAAGAGCAAGAGACGGATGGAGTGATGAAGGAAGAGGAGAGGAGCAGGTGGAGGATGAGTTTGCGTGTTCCGGGGCGCTACGCGGTGCCCTACAGTCCTTCCATCCCACAGTTGAGAGGATATTTGGGGTGACCTTTACGATCGGCAGAGAGGAGGCTGCTGTGTTACCCCATGATGGACAGATCTGGCTCAAACTAAAAGGCGAGAGGAAGGACGCTGTGGCTGCCAAAGTAAGAAATGTCTCTTATTATTGTTGTTATGTTAACATGTGTTGAGGTTGAGATTAACCTAATGTGTTTTGCAGTAATGCAAGGTGGTCATTTCCTATGTGTCACAACTTGGGCCATGGGGTTTTTCTGATCACGTCATCTGACCAGGGAAAACTCCAAAACCTACTGTATGTTGTAACATAATATAGTATTACATCTCTCTCTTTCTCTCTCCTCTTTCTCCCACCTCCCTCCCTCTCTCTCCTCCCCCTCTCCCTACTTCCTCCTCTCCCTCTCGCTCCTCTCTCTCTCTCACTCTCTTTCACTCTCTCTCCTCCAGTTGTTTGTGAAGGGAGTTGTGAACCAGGAGGCCCAGCAGGAGGTTCCATATCCAGGGGTCCTTCACTGTGTGTTCTGTGGAGCCCGAGGGCTGTTCATGGAGTGCCTGATCAGAAACACCTCTGCTTACATACTGGTAAGAATAGACAAACACACAACACACACACATACAGGCTGTATACACACAAACACACACACACACATAGGCACGCACGAACACACACACACACACAAAGATGATCAGATGGATGATGTGAAGGAAGGAAATGCACATTAGAAGAGAGGAAGGAGGTTGTGGGTTTGAGTCTCTTTAGAGAGATGGCAAGATTAAGACTAAAGTTAATCTTATCTCCATTTCTTCACATTTCCTTCCTCCAGGTGGGTTCCCCAGGCTTCCTGCTCATCTCAGGGCTGGCAGAACCAGTGGTCAGGGCCTATTCCCTCATCACAGACCTGGTGGAACACTATAAGGGCACGCAGGGACGACGAACCGAGCCTGGCGACAGAGGATCAGGCGAGACCCTGGATTCCCGTCGGGCCTTCAAATCGCTGGTGGAGAGATGGGAGGACAGGCACACTCTGGATCTCCTGGTGCTACCAGGGGCAGTGAAGGAGACTCTACTGGATCTGATGAGGGAGTCTGGGCTGGGATCCAACCCCGTTCCTGGGGGCTTGAACACAGTTCCTGGGCTGGGCTCGAACCTCAGTCTTGGGGGGTCTAGAGACACAGTGGGTCTAATGGACACTGATAGCCAGAGACGATGGGACAGCCAATCAGACTTGGACAGACTAACACTTAAGGATACCAGAGTATTGAACAGAGCTGGAGAGGCTAGGGACATAGAGGGAATACAGGGGATTTCCACATCAACGACCAAACCTCCCGAACATTCCACCCACAACCAAGACCCTGGTCTACGAAATATTGGGCAGCTTTCTCAACAAAATACATTCACTACCTCACCTGTACAAGGAAGAGAGATGGGCAAAGATTGGACACAGGGAGGGATAGATAAAGACGCAGCACCCCGACTTCCCATCTTCCACTCTTTCCTCCAAACCGAGGTGGGGCAAGTACGTTCCCCACAGGAGGTAGAGGATGAGGAACAGGGGGAAGAAGAGGAAGAGATGGAGGTGGAAGAAGGAGAGGGGGAGATGTTGTTGTCAGTAGGGAGTAGGGAGGAGTTTGGGCTCTTGCTGAAGTTCTTCACGGCTATGGGCTATGCGGAAGATGTGGTACTGAGGGTCCTGGCCCGGACCGGACCCAGAGAAGCCTCCCAGATCCTTGACCTGGTCCAGCAAGAACATGACCAGACCGGACTGGCCATGAACCGCCCAGTGGAGATGGAGCACAGAGAGGTGGAGGAGAGGGAAGGTAAAGGAGTGAGAGGAAAGAGAAGAGGTATAGATGGAGGGATGGGAGTGGAGATGGAGGGAGGTGTGGAAGAAGGGGCGAGGAGTAGAGAGGAGGGGAGAAAAGGCAGGGAGAGTGGAGGGTCTAATGCAAACCTGGCTGAGGATTCACTGGAGGAAGGCAGGGAGAGGGGCGAGGGCGGCATGAAGGGAGGCAGGGAGAGGGGCGAGGGCGGCATGGAGGGAGATGAGGGAGGGAACAAGGAGGATTTTGTCCTGGGAGTTCTGAAGAGGGCTGCAGCCAGTTGTGGATACACAGAGGAGAAGGTAGCAGAAGTGTACAGTATGTTACCTGAACTGTCCACACGCCAGCTACTCCTAGAGCTACAGAGGGAGGGCGCAAGAGAGACAGAAGCTGATTCCCAGAACCGGGTACGAGACGAACCAAGAGAGGTGGATGAGGTTGTCTCAGAGGTACAGAGAAAGGACAGAGCAGGAGGAAGGGAGGAGGAGAGCGGTAGAGAGATGGAGTCCACTGCTACTGAAAAGAGAGGAGAAGAAAGAAAGAGTGAAAAG